AATTTAAAAAACGTGAACATCACACAGATTAATATGTACCCCTAAGTCTCTGGAACGGAATACATGCACCAGTGAACCTACAACTACACGATTTATATTTTAAAAATAATTAAATTCACTTAGCATTCAAAACTTGCGAATTTTGAAAAAAACAAATTTGCTGATTAAATGCAGACAACCCTTTAACTGAAGTAAAACGGGTTTTCCCCTTGCTATGGATGTCTGCCTAGTTCAGGTCAGCCACATTCCGCTACAGTTCGCCTTTATTATCAGTTCGAAATGGGATGGTTCCATAATACCCGCAGTGTTCCATAATACCACCTTCTCCTCTATACATAATTTCACTAATGAATTTAGTTTAGAAAAATATGAATTGAGGAGCTGATTAATTTATTCTGTATCTGTTTGCTTGTGACATTATTTCTAACAATATCTGCTCTCTCTTTAAATATCCCATTTCTCGGTCTTGTTCATATGTTATCTCCTCTGCCACACTTTCTTCCACTTCTGTTATTTGCACTCCATTTTCTACTCTCTCTTCATCATTACTCCATACTGATTCAACATTCTGTAGAACACAAATATTATGTAAAATACAACGCGCAGCTATAAGTTCTACCATTAAGTCCATGCGAGACATATCTAAAAACTTCAGCCTCTGAAACATAGTTAGTTATTTTGCATACCGATTTCTTTTTTTTCTTACTTTTATATTGTGTTAAATAATTAACCAAAATTAATTCTTCTTCCTCGGATTCTGAATCTAATTCCGATAATATTTCTAAAATGATTCCTAAACTTGCCGCCATCTTCGATCCTACTCTTATACTTTCCGCCATGACAGAAGCTATCTGTATCGCGTGACAAGGACTGATCCGATTTTACAGATCGATCTATACAAAACGAAAAGTATATGCACCCCTAGTTGTAAGTTAGATTATGAACTCTTAGTTTGGTTTCTAGTTAGGTTATGATAGGTTAGGTTAAATTAGATTAGGATTTGTTAGCTTTAGTCCGCTAGTCAGATTATTCGTTCTAGGTTACGGTAGGTTAGTTTAGTAAGTGAGTAAGTTAACGTTTAAAAAAATTATAATAAATACATAAATAAATATTAATAAAATTTTGGGATCTTGCTTGTTTGTTTTTGTCCGTCCGTTCGTCTCGTATAGTTTTTCGATGTGTTCGTTTGCTTTTCGTGCTGTCTGTATAGCTGTTAAGTAGTATTAATTAAGATTTGCGATCGCGTTAAGTGTTATTAGTATTAAGAAGATATAAGTCTTCATACTAACAGCCACATGGCATTAACCTCCACACTTAGCTATTCGTGGCAGCACTCAATAATTGGTGTTCGCTACACTCAGGTTTTCCTTTAGACCCTTCGGGTAACTACGGCCTTGCAGCCTAAAAACTCCACGCCATCGTCAAAAATAGAGGATACTGTAGCGTTAAGTACGCCGTTCAGAGGGATCCTACCTTTCTCTACTGTCTATCACCTCTCCCTCCTTTTTTCTCTTTCCCTCTTTTTCCGGCTAAACACTTCGTGTACGGCCGAAGTCTTTCTTGTATGTATGTATTGGTAGAAAAACATTCTCATTGAAACAGGGCGTTTCCCATCTTGGGTATATAAAAAATCTGTAATGGCTGCCAAATGCTATTTAGATAAGCTCATTTTTCCAGAAGTCTGTGTGATAAAGTGTCAACTTAATCCAGATTCGAATCCACTAAAGTCTTACAACTTATTATGGATAGTAATGATCAAAATGTTTCCCTTTCCAATCTCATGTTGATGAACCGTATTGTGGGTCGGTTCTACTACTAATGGGCGAAAATGTGGCTAGTCTATGTTAATAGAATATTCATCTTTGTGCTTAACAATATTAATATTATCTTTATTTTATGGTCAAGGAGCTAGATATTTTTCTTCTGCCCGTGTCTCACGTTAACCTATTAATAATTCGAGCAGAAAGTTGTTTCAGCAGTAAGCGTTATTAAAGTACACATACGTCAGCATCTACTAATATGTTTATGTGTTTACTTACATATTAAACAAAAAAGAAAGCCATAAAGACAGAAATATGTTTATTATCAACATGTTTCGACTTGCAACCTTTACCAATTTGTCTTTATGTATTGATTTAAATATCAAGTAAATAATCATATATTTAAAAATTGTTCAGGGCTAATAATATATTTTTAAAATTATTCAAACTTCGATTCCATTTGAAGTTATTTTGAATTAAGTTCGAAGATAGTCTTAGCATTTGAATTTATAAATATTTGGTTTCTTTTTTTAATTCTTTCCGCCCTTCCGGATCCCATCCTGGATGTCCTAGTGCGGTAGTCTGTCACTTTAACTGCTTGACATCTACCCGTTCCTCTGTTAAGAAATAAGAAAATCATTTTAATGTATTCATTTAACAGTGATATCTTTATATAAATATAAACAGTTAAATCAAAAACTTATTGTAGCATTGTGAATCTATAAATTGAAAACAAAAAAGATTCAAATATAATTCTTTATTTTCACAAATGTATTTTGTAGTTAACTTTTACACAAAGGAAGTTATTGCAATGAAAATGGGAGTGGTGCAAAAAAAGAGTAAATTTTAAAAATAAAATTAATTTAAAATTTGAAAATAATCATTTATTTCAAAATAAAAATCAATAATAATACTAATAAAACTTAATTGTATAATTTATGTGATGCAATTCGTTAATTCATTAGTAAGTGTAATCGCGTGCTTTACCACCTCTATATTTACAATCGCAGGTTTTATGATTTGATTCATGGAATAAGGAAGTGCTATATTTGGTCGATCTATCAAGGCAACCGGAAAGACTTTCTGTGGAATATTAACCACTGTTTATGTGTTAGACACGTGAAAAAAGCCAGAAAACTCCGCGTGGACAGCACATTGACCATTCGTCAACTCAAGACCAACTTCTATTTTTAGTGATTTCACTAATTTTGCATACCATAGGCCCTATTTTATTATTAATATTATAACTATTAAAAATACCTCTATGATCATCTCTGTGTGGTATATGATTACTTTTCCTGGAACGTAATTTAAACTTTATATAGCTGATAGAAACAGGACAGCTCGCTTAATTAAAAATGAATTTCTACTATTACTAGTAGGATCTACTATTACTATTTTCTACTATTACTAGTGGGATCTACTGTATTAACAATATGGAGCTTTTCATGCTGCAAAACACAGCGTGTAACACATATAATATACTGTACCTCATACAGTACATGCTGTATTCTGTGGCATCTAAGACAGACCGGCATACAACATGCGTCGTAAATTTTATATAAAATATGCGAGAGAAACTGAAATTGAGGGAAATTTTCTAAAACCTGCAACGGCATTGCTCTGTATTCAGATAAATCCACAAAATCTATATATATAAATAGCATTTTGAAGCTAATCACTTATCGCTAGCAGGGATGACTCTTTACGGGAATATAGCGCAGTACAGGGATGGTATACTTCTTTACCTTAAAGCCTTTTCTTTTATCTATTTGGACTGGCCGAAATCGCAATGGGCTTGTTAAAAGAGACCCTCTTAATGCTTACAGGGCGGAAATAGATAAAAGAAAAGGCCAAGTAGTGTGGTGGGAGACGAAGTCCGACATATCAGGATGGACCATGCCCGAGTGTGGTGAGGGACAGAGTCTGACATATCAGAATGGACAACCCCCGAAAAATTCATTGGAATTTTTTGACCCGCCCGGACTCGCTTCCGGGTCTCCTAGAGTGGTAGGCTGCCACCTTGACCGATCGACCATCTGGCCAGTTGACATTTTGTATTGTAGATATGTAATTTGAAAACGAGCAATTATTTATTGTGATGATGCCAGGCTGCAATTTTTAATCACATTTTAAATTCATTTAAAGGGATTTGAATATATAATATACTATTTGCTTACATTTCTCTCCCATAAAGTTTCCATGCCTTTAAAACTCTATAAAATTAAAGTAAATATTAAATTTAACTTTAAGTTTTGGAAATAAAAGTAATTTCTAGCGATTTGCATTTACCTTTTCAGCTGCTTTTTTACCATCTCCTTCGCAATCTTCAGGTACTATTTCCTAAAAAATAAAAAAATTGTAAGAGCTATTAGTTCTTTAAAAATGTGCAGAGAATTGATTCTTTTAATGTTTCTAAATGAAAATATATATATATAAATATTTACCCCTTTTTCATTCAAAACTTCTATGAATGATCCCTGAATAAAAATAAAAAAAGCTATAAACTTTATATATATCAAGTTTTATATTTATAAACTTTTGCAATTAATTAGCTGCTTATACTAAGTACCTTAAATAAAATCCCAACAACACTAGCTGCTCTACTAACTTTTCAATGAAAAGGTGGAAGAAATTGGTGAGGTTGAAATGAGAGAGAGTGATAAAAATGATCTTAGTAACTAAAGTGTATATTTATTGACCTCAGTATTTACAATAATGAAACTGCAAAACAAAAAATTTGCTCGGGTTAAAGTTAACGAGGAACATGCTTGTCCCGTAGACTTAACATTGCACATTTGCAATTTCTCCACAACTGAACCATTGCACCTATCTAAAATATCTCTTCAGCGACAACATCTACAGGATAACAGCTTTAATTTGATACAGTTGTTATTATGGAAAAATACATACAGGGAGAAAACAGGAAGAAAAAAACATTCATTTTTATACACTGTACAAATTAAATCATAAATAACAAATACGAACTAATAAAAGATAATAAGATAATAATAATGAACACCAAACGTTTGTATTTTTCAGATTCTCAACCTCTGCACCCCCTGTATTTATCTAAAAAATATAAATAATCAATCTTTAACGTTTATATCTGTTGTATATTATATTATATTTCAAAAATTTTTTGATAAGTGCCCCAAGATCTATCCTCAAAAAGCTATAGCTACACCCTCCAGCTAAGTAATAAATGACATGCCGCATTACATATGAAATGGAGAATGGCATTGATTTGTTTACTTAGCTGTTTGCCACTAGAAACACCCTAACTGAAAACTTTATTACACTTTTTAAATGAGGGTTTATGTGTCGAAACATCTGACAAAGTTTGAACAAATGTCTTGTAACTGTTTCCGTGAGATTAAAACATCAGAAACAATTGAGAAATAATACGAGACCATAAGAAATCAATTATTCTTAAATATTTCTTCATATATTGAAGTTTAAATATAGAAAAAAATATATAACTTACTAAATTGCCTTCTATTTTGTCTTTATAACTCGGAAATTCCTATATTTTAAATTAAATGTACTATTATTTGCAACTGAATTCACATGCATATTTATTCTTAATACTTCATGTAAGAAAACAAGTAATCAAAAATTAATGCAATGCCTACCGATATAAGTTTTTCCTTCAAACATGTCTTCACATATCTCTAAAAAATTTATAATATATTAAAAAACATTTTAAAACAATTTAATAAAGTCAGCGCTTATTCAAACTTTAGTTAAATGGCTATATTATTGTTCTGGGTTTGAACCCGAGACAGTTAATTGATAGAATAAGGGAACAATACACGATGACAATCTGCCAAAGAGAATGCATTGTGTTCAAATGTTTAGTGAAGAAGACCAGGAAAACTCCACATGGCCAATCCGTTGGTCAGGCGCGACCTGGATCATTGTTCATTAGTTTTATGCACTCGGTCACCGTATGTTACACCACTGTTAGATATATATGGTGTAATATACAGTGTAAATAGTAACGTTCTGAATTAGATGAAAAATATTTTAAAGATATTAAACAAAATGGCATCTTTCAAAACCTTAGCAACCAAACCTTAATGCTTACATACGTTTTACCCAGTGATTACCTCTTGAAAATCTTTTCTTTCTTTTGAAGTTTCAGTACAACATTCTTTTGCCTGAAATTTGATATTTATTATTGATACAACATATTAAATAAGTATTATTAAATTAAATATTAACATACCTTGTTTTCTACTTTTATCTTTATTTCCCTGCCTGAAAAATGCAATAAAACATATTTTTCAGAATGTATAATACATAATTAACCCATAAAGAAACTTACGGCGATCGGGGTGGCTGTTGACAGTACACAAGAACAAAACAGGAAAAAGCAGAAGGAACTTCATTCTGAACGAATATCAGGTGAATAGAAAGCAAACTGCAGAAAGTATTTATATCTTCTGAAAGAAACATAATGACGTCAATGGCGTTTGCGACGATTGGATAATTTTTAATAATTCTATTATTTCATACTGTAAACAGGACATAGTATTTGTTCAGTTGATCTTCTTGTTGTTACGTCGATCCAAGTAATATTGGAAAAATCTACTAAACAAACATCCATTTTTCGTTCTGAATATTTTGAAAGCAAAAAAATGAGCAATAATAGAAAATAACAAATAAAAGCAATTTGTATTTTAAGCAAAATTAAGTGATTTTATCCACCAGAAGTGGAGTGGATAAGGACACTGAACACTCATAGTTGATCGTGGGTTCAGGATCTGAGTTTTCCAGGTTTTCTTGACGTGTATAACACCTACACAGGGGACAGTTTCTCATAGAAAACCCTCCCGATCGGCATCCCAACGGCAGATCTTCCTCCACCTTATCCCTTAAAACGTTAACAAAACTTAGTGCGATTATTTTAAATATTCAAGAAAACTGATGAATAATCAGGGATTTCGTAGTATGCCGCGATATATGGTGTATATCCTGTGCATTTAAACTATCGTATGCCTTTTGGTTACTCGATATTTTGTATAAAGAGAGAGTACTAGATAACAAATATCGTATTATTACTTTCACGGCTGTTTTACACAACAGTGGGAAAGTATGGTAATCGGTCAAAATTGGCCCCCAAGGTTTTTATATTTTTGGACTCAGGGACCTTGAAATGTTGAGAAATGCAAAAAAATTTCGGGGTTTCTTCTGTTTGTATAAGTTGTATGTAGATGGGGCAGAATAGTCCACCATCTTAAAACCTTAATAATTCCTTTATTTTTGTCAAAAATTCTGAATTTTTTCAGAGAGGTTTGTGTATTGGGTGAGTGATGTTATTAAATTCAAAGCAAACCTGTACATTCGATACAGGTTTGCTTTGAATTTAAAACACATTATAGAGTTTTGTTTTGAGCACATAACTACATATACAAAACGAGAGTGGCTGTGTCCAGTTTGATTCCAAGATTTGAGAAAATGCGCGGTGATTAATTAATAGGCTTATTATCCTTCCCATTAATTATAATTAATTAAATTTATTCAATTACATTTTTTCGTTATTTTATATACATGTTTTATTTATATTTTATTTAACGTCTTAACTTTTTAATTATTGGCGATTTCACTATTTTGCAAATTTTACTTGTTAGAATTTGACACGGGGCGCTTTAGGAAAACCTGATTTTAGTAAGGGTAATGGGAATCGAAAAAGTTTAGGAACAACTGATTTATTTAATTCTTATAAAAACGAATAACTTCGAATGTATAAATTACATATCCAATGAATAAAGTGACTTTAGGAATGTAACTTGTGTTTAAATATCTTTATTTGTAGAATGCATTTTAATTTAATTGCATTTGATCAGTACAGCTTTACATGCGGATTTAATTTTACGTACTCTTAAAAAGTTTGCATAGAATCTACATTCTAGTATATGATAATTTACTATTTTTATATTGTCACGTATAGCAAAACTTGGCATTGTGGCCACCCCTGAAATTCCAATTTAAAACTGCACGGATTTTAATATAAATCAGACTTTTACTCTTCTCCTAAGACTAAATATGTATAATTTATAATAAATAATAAACATGTTGTATATATAAAAATCCCAAATTACTAAAATATGAGGAATAATTTCCAGTTTTAAATATTGAAATAACAGTTAAACAAGTATTGACTCTTAAATTAATTAGAAATCATCAATATATACTCAACGGCAGCTGCACTGTTACGTATTCTACTTCCCTTTAATACATGAAAATATATGAATTTTACGAATTTTTATATTTCAAAAAGGTGTAATGGTTCAATGGTTCAGGCGTGGCGAAGTTGCAAATGTACTGTACAATCATCGCACGCAATCTAGTGATTCAGTTTTTTTAATGTTAGAGACACCCGTTTCTCGCCTCCTACTCTTAATTGCAGCTTCTTTGTAGTAATTACTTTTTAATTAAAAAGCTTTTTGCACTTACACTTAACATATTTATTTTATTACTTTAATAGTGTATAACTGTTAATTTTCAACTGAACCGTTTTTTTTAGAATTTATAATAAAAAGTACGTATTAGTAAAGTAAATGTATGTATAGAAGTTTACAATACTACACAAATAGAATTTTCATTAAGTCTGACCCCTCGCGAGATGACACGTGACCAACGTCTATCTCTGCATCCAATTGTTCTTTCGCAACCAAAATTTATTAGCATCAGTGACCCTTATATCAGTGACGAACTTTTTTACAATGAAAAGGAGGACACTAATAAATTGAAGGAAATATATACTACTAGCAGACCCCACCACGCGTTGTTGTGGCTCAAAATGTATCTATTATAAATGCATAACACTTTCCCTGTGGGGGAAAAATTTTACGAAAAATTTCTTCTTAGTGTACATTCTCTTGACGTACCCTATTAAAACGCAATCAAAAACGCAAAAACCCGCATTTAAAATAGTATAAATAGAAGCAGAGTTCTTCACAGTAAGCTTTAATCCTGTCCATCTTCCCCAGTGAGGAGAATTTCGACATGTATATTATATAAAAACACGTACATATTCGAATGCAGCGTTGTGTGAAAATTTCAAAGGAATCGGTAGGAACAAACGAACATTACATTTTTATTTATATAGATAGATAGAAGATGATCCGCTTTAGTTCATTTTCACAGAAAAGCATAATGCCTCACAGAAAAGCAAATTTAGGGCGTCGTACTCGTAGCGCCATCTGTTGGACATAAAAGCCTTAACCTAGATTATATCTTTTAATTTATATGAATGTTTAACGGAATAATATA